CACAATCAGAGAATCGAAGGATTGATCGATCTTTCTTCTTTTTTGCTGTCGAAAAAGTACATAATTGCGCAAGCAGCATAAGCAATAACAGATATTTCATATTCGATTTCAATCGATAATTCAGAAATCAACTCCAAGTTATTTTAAAGAAATATATTGCTTTCTCTCACAGTGGCTTGTGTCTTGTTTTGCGTAATGTTTCTTTCATATATATATATATATATATATATATATATATATATATATAGATATAGATAGATAGATAGATAGATAGATAGATAGATAGATAGATAGATAGATAGATTATTTTCTTTTATATATTTTTTCTAATTTGAACGTTTTTGTGTTGAAAAAATACGCATCGATATGTACGAATATATCAAACTGATCCGTGTGTTCCTTATTCAAAGCTGTTGTAGATACAGCAAGAAATAAGGAGAAAAAAAAAGACACAGTGTAGTTTGTTTATAGTAAAACCGTTTCAGATAATTTTCCCTGTCTTTCAAAGCTGATTTTCATGCTTTCCTTCTCTGGCATGTGAATGAAAAACTGGTGGAGAAAAACAACATATTTCTCTTACTACAAATGTCAGCGTGGAAGAAGAAGAAAAAAAAAAAGGCTTTTCGCTCCGTCGAACGTACAGGTTGCAATTGGAGATGGGCTGACTGGAGCCACGTGTAGGGAAAGCAGTCACTACTTACGATAACTAGAAAGGATTACTATGTGTGGCACGATATTTATATATATTTTCTTTAAGTCGTTGGTAGGAAGGGGGCAGGGTTCGGGTATGGGATTGTTCAGGTGCTCAAATGCGATTGAAACCGCAAACAATTTCAAACACCCATCTCCTTTCTTTTTCCTTCGTTTTCTTTCTTAGTCTCTTTTCAAAATTTCAGTGTTAATAAATTATGATGGAAATAAATAAAGCAACATTTAAGAAACAGCTATGTCCACATTTCTTAATATTCAATATATTTATTTAGAAATAGTCAACAGAGAATGTGATGTGTTTTAAATAATATTCATAAGTTTAAAATATATTCGATTTCAAATTATGCCAAAAGAGGATTTTTAAAAATATGTTAGTATAATGAACATAGCTTTCTCCTTTTCTCTTAAATGTTTATGGAAAATCGAAATTTACTGTGGGAAAACAAATTATATTAATAATGTTTTATTTTATTAATAATATTAATGTTTTAATTTACGGACCTAAATTTCATATATTTCCCCGATTATAACAATATATGATTTTTAATGTTCTAACAATCTTTCGTTTCTATCTCTTGAATTTCATTGAATTTCTTTAAATAATTCTAATAATATTTTCGATTTTCTTGTGATTTTGACATCAATTTTTCTTTTCAGCTTCAAGAGTTTCCAATTTATTCGAAAAACTGAGGAAAATAAAAAATAATAATTTGATTAATTTACATAATTTTATTTTTTGTTTATATTAAAAGATAAACTCTGAACTTTACGCTATTTTGGACTTGATATTACCTTTTTTTTTCTATATTCTCTTTTTATCAAAGGCAAATGAATCACTGACAAAATATCTAAATGGAAATCCCAAATTAAATCGCAGCTTCTTTTTTTTAATATGATCTAAATATTGCTGTAATTGATTAAAATCATTTAGTTACGTCAATCGGTAAATCTTTAGCTTTTTCTAACATTCTAAAACAATAAAAGTTCAATAAATACTTAAGAATTTGTATTTTTCTACTGCTTGCTTTAAATAAATGAAAGCAATTTTATACCATAAATATTGATAAATTTGAGATTAAATTTCAGAATGAGAAGTGTTTGACGATTTTACGGTGAAATGCCAATAATTACACATTTTCTCATCAGTTATGCGTTGTTAGTCTTTAACTAAATGATCTTAAACCAGATTTATATATGACGGAAATATTATTTGATATCTGATAGGAATTGGTTTCATTGTTCATTAGATAGACAAAATATTAGAGACATTTATTTTATTAAATAACGGATGCTTTTGATAAATATAATAGATAGATAGATAGATAGATAGATAGATAGATAGATAGATAGATAGATAGATAGATAGATAGATAGATAGATAGATAGAATTTCCTTAATTATTTCTAATTGGTCAGTGAGAGTGACAATATTAAGGATTAATAAAATTGTTTCGTATTTTGCAGTCGAACTGTTCCAACGTTAAAAGAAAAATTCTGATTCTAAGAGTTGCGTAAGTTTTGATAAGTGAAATATTCGATTCAAACACAAACACATGGACAAAGTGGCTTTAAATTACTTTTGATCCGTGTTCAGCAAATCCGATAAAAAATAAATATTTCACAAAATTCGTCACTTCTCGGTAATTATCGGAAATCTTTTGCGTTGAAGTGTTGTTTTGTTGGTCAAAACATGTTGAACAATCGGCTGCTTCGGCTGGTGTCTTACGATCAAATGACGGGCGGCTTGATTGGTCTTCAATATGTACCACTGCTGATATAACGACGAGGACGATACGGGTAGAATGAATTCTGGTGCCAATAGGAGGCGATCTATTCGACCACGGACACTCCCTTTTTTATTTCGACTCAAATACAGCACCCACCTCCCGTCAGCACACATTCAAAAGAGGAAAAGGGCTGAACTGTGTGTGAGAGAGACAAAAAGAAGAAAAAGAAGATCGAATATAACTAGATCGGTAGCGATCAAGAGAAGAAGAAGAGTGAGAAAGGAATCATTTTTTCATTGTGTGTATGGGTGGAGGTGTGAGTGTGTGTGCTTGTGTGTGCAACAGGACGTTGAAAAGTTATCGGTTCGTCCAAGAAGGTCGACTAAAAAGAACAACTGATATTTTGTTTGGCCAATAGGTCAGATTTGTGAGAAGTGGCGCATGCCGCAAACTTTCCGCATGTCATCGCTTTACTCCTATACACTTTCTTTATATCGTAGATATACTAAAATAAACATATTGCACGAGAAGATACCTCTAGTAAGTCCGCAGCTTCATAACAGAGAAAAAAACTTATTTAACATAACAAATATTATTTTTTAGCAGAATCCTTTCTTTGTCAATGCACTTAATTTAATTGAGAATCACGTTGCTCGAATGTTACAAAGTGAAAAATTTATAATTTCAAAATTTAGATAATAAAGTTAATAAAATGTTAGGCTATGGACTTATTGATCCATTCTTGTATGTATGCAGATGTATCTATTATATGCATATATGTTTATTTATGAAGTTTGTGTAAAAAGCAAGAAGACATAGCGACATATATTTTTGCATATACAGATTCTTATAGACGTATGTATATGAACACTTATATAGACATTTACATTTATTTAAAAGACATTCACACATATACTTATCAATTCATTTAAACACAAACACACAAATATTGTCTCTCTCATCCACACTCACTCATATTTTATATATACATACACACACACACACACACACACATATATATATATATATATATATATATATATATATATATATATATATATATATATATATATATTTGTGGTGAATGCATTGGACTGATATAAATAGTATCATATTTCATACTCAAAAAAAAAAACATACTTTTGGTTTCTCTTTCTCTTTGTATATATATATATATATATATATATATATATATATATATATATATATATATATTATTCACGACTAGGGTTGGTATTGCGGAATTTTATAGAAGGCTGAATTTGTCTTCTTGGCCCCAGTGGATGACAGTTCTATCGGTCTGAATTCTCAGCGAACTTTTAAAATAATGTATATTGGAAAAATTATTTACTGTGGGATTTAAAAGATATTCATTTTATGAGAGCATTGGGTAAAAGTAATGATCAGGAATTTTAAACACAGAATATAGACCCCCAATTTAAACATTTTATTTAAGCACCAAACTTTTTTCTGTTTCGACACAAATAAAGATGTGTATATGTATATATATCGATACAAGTAAGTATGTATGTACTTATGTATACAGCCACCAATCTACATATACGTTTTCGCCCTAAGTAGGGATTTGAAAAAACACATTAAAAACGTCTAATTTGTGAAGTGTGTCGGATAGAGAACTTTTCAATTATTTCCGAATATTAACATATATATATATATATATATATATATATATATATATATATATATATATACGCATATGTACATACACACACACAAATACACACAAACATACATATATATATATATATATATATATATATATATATATATATATATATATATATATAAACATACGCACACCTCATTACATCTACAAACAAATTACCGAATAGGTTTTAAAATAAACAGACGGGGAGGGTTACGAAAATGCGCACCGTGTGCGTGCGTGTTGGTATGTGTGATGATGTGTCTGTATTTTTATGTATATAAGGGCGTACGCCGTTAAGTAAATAAGCAGGAAAAGAAACGCAGTCAAACATATACACATATCCGTGCACACACACTCATACACACGCACGCAGGCGAGCGCAAACACACACACTCAAACTTGTATCTAACATGACGAAGATGGGGATGACTACAATTTTCGCCTATTTACGAGGAAGGATCTTATCACACAGATGAGTGAGTGGTTTACGGACTAAGACGGCCCACCCTTTCCATTCATTCTCTTTCCTTTCATCACTCTCACCCCTGCGCTCGTGTACACACGCACTTACACCTATCGTGGCCTATAACCCACACATAAATACGCTCATCTCATCTTAGATACTAACAAACCATACAAAACCATTCATTTGTTTCGGCTTTCTCGCAACCAGAGACGTTTAGGAACCACGTAAAAATTTCACTCACACACACACACACACACACACACACACACACACACATATATATATATATATATATATATATAAAAATCCTATTACTTTCTTTTACTTGAAAAGGATTTATGTATTTTTCTTGTTTACAAGCATAACTGATGCAAACTTAAAACAGTTCTAACGTGCTTTCACCCTTTCACCCATACGAGTCTATGTTTACGCACGATCATAGCTGTGTATTTTGTAGGTACCGCCAAAACGGATGCGTTTTTTTACTTCCGAAATGAAAACAAAACAAAAAAATAAATAAAACGCTATTCCCTATTTTTAGAATGTTACCAAAATCGGAAAATTATTCAATTTAAATGAAATTTTTAATAGTTTTTCATTAATGAATGAATTGTATTCTGAATAAGTTATTTCAACGGAGAAAGAAATAGCTATATTTTTGGGTGACAGTTAGCCAGCATTTCGATACATTGAGAATACCTTTAAAATTGGAGCTGTGAGGATAAAATAGTTTTTATAGTTTTATAATGACAAATCCCTGAAGATATTATTTTTGTATAATATCAAATCAGAAGATCTTGAACATTTCTCCTGCAACTTTAAATTCAGTAAAATGTAAAAAAGTAATTTGCATAATGTAATAAAATGCACATTATTTTATTTCAGATTTGACAGGGAAGAAATTTACAATGCATATTTGTTTTTGAAAACTTTTCTTTCTAATATCCAATGCGATTTTGAAATTCTCCCATTTGCTGATAACAAAAGAAGTTATCAAAAAGAGATGTTTGGATAATCAAAAAATGTAAAGTTTCATTCGATTTTTACATGAGAAATAGTTTTTAAAAAATTATATTTTATTTATTATTTTCACAATTTTTAGATGTTTTGTGGGGAAGGGGTTAAAAGGAAAAATTCTGGGTCTGTCTATATTTCTGAGATGAGGTATTATGTACAGTATTTACATTAGTCGGACTATTGTCCTCATCTTTGTCGCCATATTTGTCACAACGTTTCCGGCCTTCTTCAGGTGGTTGGAATTTCGAAGTGAATTTCGAACTGAACCCTTTATTTCGATCACTGGGGTAGACTGTTCTAGTTCCACGTGCTATGTTTTGATGGATGTTATTTTTTCCCTCTGAAAGTTCTCCACTGCCTTAACCAGGTATTGAACTCACCTTCTTTGGGTCTGTCACTGGATCTAACCCACGCCTTTATCAACTGTGCCATGTGTCCTTGAGGACAACTGGGTATGAACTCCTGAGTATAATAAACCTAATGTTTTCAGCATCATTTTTACCAGTGCTCATATTGCAATTTTGCTGTTATCATTGCATGTATTTACCAGAGTTCATATTGCAAATTTGTTATCATTGCTTTTCTCTGGCACTCCTTATTACTGGTTCCCATATTGTATTTATTTCGATGCTTTGTCGGCTCAGGAGATTTTTGTGGCCTACCATATGTGTTGATTCCTTAAGTTTACGAATTTTCCAATGGTGTTCCCTGTCTATGATCTCAACATGATCCCACAGGGGGCGGTGATCTCCCTTCTCTCTCCATATATGGTCAGCCACGCCTGATTTTTCTACTTCCCCTCGTGTTACAGCTTTCTGGTGTTCTTGAAGCCTTACCTTGAGGGGGCAGCCTGTCTCTCCTTTATATTCCTTTCCGCAGCTGCACGGGATAGCGTACACATAGTCTTTAGTCATGTTCCTCTCTATGGGGGGGTCTTACTCGAGAGAGATATCTGCGAAGTGTTGTCACGCTTTTGAAGGTTGTCCTGATGTTATATGGATCGCAGATCCTTTGTATTTTCTCTGATAACCCCTTCACATAAGGCAGGCAGACTGTTTTCTGAGTGTTGTTGTCCATTTGTAGTTATTGGTCTACAGGGTTCTTAAATTTTGCTATATCAGAATGATCTCCATTGTACAGGTAACGACAGGTGACATTGACATTGACATTGGTATGACAACAGCGGAATGTTCTAAGATGTTAATGAAAATGGGATATGAAATCAAATAGGTTATTGTGACTTTGGTATGACAACAGCGGACTGTTGTAAGAGGTTTACGAAGCTGGCAAATAAAATCCATCAACGAGGTGACTGTGAATCTGGTATGAAAATAGCGGACTGTGCTAAGATATTTACGAAGCTAGGAGATGAAATCAATTAACTAGGCGACTGTGATTCTGGTATGACAAAACTGACTGTTCTTAGATTATTAAGAGGCTGGGAGATGAATTAAATCAATGAGGTGACTGTTACTTTGGTATGACAACAGCAAACTGTTCTAAAATGTTTACAAGGCTGGGAGATGAAATCAATCAACCAAGTGACTGTGACATTTGAATGACAGCGGTGCACTGTTCTAAGATGTTTATGAATCTGGGAGATGAAATCAGACTACGAGATGACTGTGATATTCTTATGGCGCCAGCGGACATTTCTAAGATGTTTACAAAGAAGGAAGATGAAATCAATCAACGAGTGACTTTGTTATGACAACAGCGGACTGTTGTAAGATGCTTGCAAAGCTGAGAGATGAAATCAATCAACTCTGTACCTTGGGTATGACAATACAGGACTGTCGTAAGATGTTTGCAAAGCTGGAAGATGAAATCAATCAACTCTATACATTGTGTATGACAATACAGGTCTGTTGTAAGACGTTTACGAATCTTTGAGATGAATTTAATCAACTAGATGACAGTGACTTTGGTATGACAACAGCCGACTGTTCTGAGATGTTTACGAAGCTGGGAGATGAAATCAATCAATGAGGTGACTGTGATTTTGACATGGCAACAGCAGG